TGGCATTTGGGATTTGGGATTTGGACACCTCTGTCTGCTCCCAGGGTACTCCAGGAGCTTCTGATGGCTGGAGATGCTTCAGCCCTGGGGATTTGGGGTTGAGTTTTGGGGAGATTTTTGCATAAATCAGTGCAAACCTGGCTGTGCCCCTTGCAGCCTTTTTTTCCCTGAGTTTGGGGTGTTTTTTCCTGGCTTTTCCTGGCAATCTCTGCCAGTTCCAGGGTCCAGCAGCTGCTTTGGGATGATGCCTGACATCCTTTGCACCTTCAAACTCCCTCTCAGTGCTCAGGGAAGGATGAACCAGCTGTTCCCTCTGATATTTCAGCCCTGCCCGTTTCAGCAGGAAATCTGCTGCTTTGGCATTTGAAAAGCCCTCCAAACGTCCCCCGTGGCTTTGAAACCGTGCCACGCTTTGGAGGTTTTGGATTCGTGCCTCTGGTTATTTTTGAAAAGAACAGGCACCTAAAAATAACCCGCGTGTACTTTTCCAGGCAGAAACGGCGGATTTTTGGGAGCCAAGCGCRTGCACGGAGGCGGCTGGGATGTGAATTTATGGCTCCCAGAGCCTCCCAGTCCAGCACTGGGCTGAGAACYCAACCCTCCTCCACATTCTGACCTTCCCAAATTCTTCCTCTGCTCCGTGAGGAACCCTCCCTGCACCTCTGGCTGCCCCTCTGCTGCTTTTTGAAGAGTTCCAGCAATCAGATGCTGGCCCAGAGTATTCCTGCAGTGGCTGTTTGAAAAAAAAAGAAAAAAAAAAACCAACAAAAAACCTGAATTAAAACCTGGCCTGGCTTCTAAATTTAGCAGGCAGCAGCTCTGGAGGCGATTTGGCTGAGCTAATTATCCTGTTAGATAAAGCATCTCCTGCATTGTCTAATCAGATGAAAATCTCTGTGTTACAGATGGTCCCTTCCATTCATTATTCACTAAGGAGATTAAGTTTCTGAGAGAGAGGAGGTGGAGGAGGATGAGGGAGGGGACAGTGGTGGGAAGAGATTGAGT